AGTGTGCTGTGTCATTGGAATGTATTGTGTCATTGGAATGTGTTGTGTCATTGGAATGTATTGTCATTGGAATGTATTGTGTCATTGGAATGTATTGTGTCATTGGAATGTATTGTGTTATTCAAATGTATTGTGTCATTGGCATGCCGTGCAAATCACACGGCAGTGGTACCGATTAGCACATGCAGTTCTTCCATAGTAAAAAACAGTGTATGTTACTGGCAGGATTTGTGTTGGACGTATAGCTATTGTGAAAAAGTGTGTCCCAGATAGTCTGCCATAACCCCCGCCCCCCTCGTTTCAAGGTTGCAGAGAGACAAGGTTTAAAGACTACCAAGTGCACTTTTAAAGACTACCAAGTGCACTTTTAAAGACTACCAAGTGCACTTCCTGCCCAAGAACATGCGCGGGTTGACCTCAAACTTAACCACACTACCTGGCTCTTAACCATGCACAGGCATCTCTCTGCCATCGGCCGATTTCCAGAGGGAGGTGGCTGCTGAATTGGAGTACCTTTGTTTTGACGGAGTGAAAACTATTTCCGCATACAAAACTCGATTCCTGAAGTTGGTATGCTTCTCTGTGAATTGAAAGAGCGAAGCAGCATCCAATTTTGCCGTGTGTATAGTATGGCCTATGACAGCATAGCGGTTGTGCGTGGGCTTCTTTCGTTCCGCACTAACCGGCGTTAAATGTTGGATTGTATCAGAGAAAACGAGATAGTCTGTATGTATAATCAAATGTGTCTGTTTGTATAATCAAATGTGTCTGTTATAAGTTACAATCCTTTACCATGTATGTGTCGCCATATGCATGGGCGAATCCCGTCGAGAAAATACTGACGTTAGTCTAATGGGTTGCCTGTCACATGCACATGTCAATGCAACCGACAAACTGTGATTCTCGATCAAGTGACTATTCCTATTCACTGTCCGTGTGCTTTTATTCTATTCGCTATTTAACAGCTCAAGGGACTGAAGGAGGCGAGTAGTGAAGGGGTGCTATACGACCAGTTCTTATAGTGACGCTTGGTTCAGTACGTACTACGACTGGTCTGTACGATCACCCTGTAACCCGTACCAGAGTCATAGCCCGTGTACCGTCTGTGCACCCAATGAAGACCCGCCTATACCACTGGTATATCGTACGACGTGTATGCTCAGCCGATGAAAAGGCGCTGTGCGTAATCCAACGGGCCATAGAATGGTTTTGTGTGTGCTGCCGCAGATAAAGATCTGTTTTCTGATCCAAATAATAATAATGGTTGGAAAGGCGAACTATGCTTTTGCAGGAAGTTTTTAACTAGTTCTCGTGGAATACAAACACGGGACGACTCAAGCGTAGCAAGATACGTATATATGCAGACACAAATAGCCAATAACCAGATATGAAAAGATATGCATGGTTCTACATGACATGAGCGTTGTAGCCCCGTTTGCCCAGGGCACTTCAAGAGATATATTTGAGTTGGCCTGACCATGATTTCAGGACCAAGGGACAAACGGACAAACGGACAAACGAAAGTCCGCGGCCGGATGAAAAAAATGGATACAGCCAATTGGGGGGATGCGCCACCACTCCCTCTTACTACCATACTATAGAATAAACCTCATTACTATCACGTGATGGCTTCATGGTTTTGTGCTATGTGCCTGTCTCACTCTTAACTCAGAATTCGCCAGTGCACCAACCCTCCACTCAGTATCGACCCCTCCATCAGCACGCGGAGATGGCGCAAACACCCAATACACCAGTATAGACGAATTCAGGACCGGTCCGATCTTTCTGGTCTTTAGTTCAAGGGCACATACAGCCGTATTTGACCAGCCAGAAGCTGAGAACACGACTGGACTATTGACGGGGCCTGTCGAATATTCGTATCGAGAACCTCCCGAGGGCCAAACAATTGGTGGGATCGACCAGTAGAAGAGGCCCTAAACAAGTACCCGGTGGCCCATAGCATAGTCCTGCTTATGTACTCTCCCAGATGTCGCTATGTACGAGTGGGAACAATCCACCTCGGCATTGCATCCGATGTCAACTCGTAATAGTATCCCGCGTAGTGTAGACTGAAGTCTTTGTCGTTGTATGGAAAGACCTGTACCCATTTGCATTCCAACCGTAATTTACGTCAGCGGGTTCTTCCGACGATTCAGTTCCCTCACCAGTGCTTGCAGCTGGTCGGTTAGCGATTGCGCAAACACAAGAGCTATGATATTGTACTGATGGTCGCTGAATTGCTACATGGGGAAATCGGACACCACCGGGAAATCTGTTTGGAATGAAGACCCGGCGCAAAAGCACAAGACCACAATTTAAATAAAATCAGGACATCATATCTCGCATAAATTGCGACCAAACCCAATCTTTTTCCAGTTAATTTTTAGGGTGGACTAGAATGTATTCCTAATTGTCTTTACGTATGATGGCGCTGGTGGAATTCTCACTATCGAGTACTCTTGGCAATGAACCCTGGCAGCGGGATGGCACTAATGCTCGTATGGACGGCGATGCAAAGGGCATGCTTTATTGACGCGCACATGTACGCATGGTATGACCCGGTTGTTTGCAAATGGAACAGCAGCGCTTGATTTTCCCACTGCTGCTTCTATCATTGGCATCGACCTTCCTCTTGTGCGTGCTCCCTCCCCAAGACGAAGTGCCTTTCTTTTGCGGACAGTTAGTGGCCCAGTGACCGGGCTACGGGTAGCGAAAATATGGAATTCGAAGATGGATATATAAGTGACAGGCAACCAGTACAATTGCTTATGGATTGGATTACACTGCACTGCCTCGACACACCTGGTAGAACTATTTATCCACTCCGCCGAAGGCAGAACTACGTTTCAAAGTATCCCATAGCGTCACTGGGCACGGCAGTATCAAATACGTATTCTATCCGCTCGGTTCAAAACGTACGATTTCGCTAACTTGAAGTTGATATCTCATACCTGATTACAATTGAAGCACACCAAACTCGCCCCACCGCCATTATTGCCATAGCCGTTGCTGCCACCATCCATTCCTGCCCCGGCCTCGGGATTAACCCATTCGAAGAAGCCGCATCCTCTACTCGGTCCAAAAGGGCATGTCCAGAACCTCTTCCCTTTATTTGGGCCTTCTTTCTGGACAGTTCGCTCCGCGGTACTCACGAAGCATTTGCATTCAGGGGCGGTAGATGAAGCAGCCGTATTGTAGTTACCTTGCATATTGCTGTTATCGTTAGCATACGTATTGCCGTACATCCCGTTGCCGGTGTGCTGACCACCTCCATGGCTCGAGTGGTACATTGAGCCGCTCCCGTTGTGGCTGTGATTCTCCTTGACTTTCCACTCGAAGAAATCGCACCTGGCCCCTTCCCCTTTCCCACACCCGAAAAACTTCTTGCCAACATTAGCACCTTCTTTAGACACTGTCCGCTCAGCCGCTGGATTGCCACAGTCACACCGCGGGTGACTGTCTAAGGTGCTTTGTAGCAGAGCTCCTCGGTTGCTGTGGTTGGAGTTTTGCGAATAGTTTCCAGACGTATTGTTGGTGTGTGAGCTACTGCCGTAGTTCCCACCCCCGTGCCCTACATTGCCATTCATACCGCCACCGTCTGTATCACTCCACAAGAAGTACGAACACTTGGTCGCCTGTGGTTTGGCGCAAACGTAAAATTTCCGTCCCAAATTCGGCCCCGGTTTCTGCGTTGTGCGCTGTGTCGAGGGTTCGCCACAGTCACAACTGGGATTGCTGTCGTTCGATTGAATATTTCCGTGATTGCCGTAACCAGCGGTGTTGGTATTGCTGTTAGTGTAGCTGCTGCTACTGTTGGTCTGGTAGTTGAATGATTGGTAGTTGATTGTGTGTGTTGTTGGCTGTTGGTGATTGTAGGTACTATATGTATTGAAAGTGATGTTAGGGCTTCTGCCCATGTTCCTGTCGTTGCTAATTTGAAGATCCGGTGCCTGTAGAGGATATTAGCAAAGAAGAGAGCCTACAATGAATAACTCGCTGAAGCTCTACCAAAATCCAATATGGATTCAAGTAAGAAATTGAATCGAACTCGTTATCGTTCCTAGTTTATGTACAGCCAGATACCTGTTCGACAATCTGAGAGCAATGGTTAGATCCCCATAGAGAGATGATCGATACGCAATGCCAATTTCACACTTAGAATGAATGCCATAGTAACTCGATCATACAATGGAACACAAGCACGCGGCACTTACGTTTCCGCCGCCGGGTCGATTACTGCCACCACCTTGAAGTCCTTGGTCTGGACTTGGATCCAGGCATTCGAAAAACTTACATGTCTTAGTCAGGCATGTGTAGAAGACTCGTCCCTAGTAATGTACGCAACGGGACCAACTCAGTGTGAAAAAGAATACTTGCCCTGATAGAACCAATAGAAATGGGTTCGATTTTGATCTTTGAGTAAACTATGGAATATAATTTACCAATGCATGTATGTCACTTCGGAGGAGCCAGCTTGTGCATAAGACTACCAGAAATTGAGTTTGTTATTGTTGCGGAAGATTTTCCTAAAGTATACCATGCACCAATTTTTCAACTTTCACACCAAAACACATACGCATGTTTACATTTGATAGCACCGCACATGCCGGCGCCCAAGAGAGAAGAACGCTTCGCCGGAAAGAATACAGGGCAACTTGTGCAAAGGGCTGTCATTAATTGCGATAGTTATAGTATCAAACAGTCTCTTACTCGATAGTATTGTTTCGAACAAGGACCCCATTCACTATCTTCTGCTCACAAAACAAAACACAACAAAAAATGTAACCGTAGATAAACACACCTCACTCTTCGTTTTCAGCCGAACACTTGGTATGTTACAATCGCAATTCGGGGCGTCTGGTGTGATATCGTCCATCCATGCAAAGATGTCGCATCTATGATAGTATTTTCCCACATTTACCACATGTTAGTCTCAGTGCTTCGGGTGACAAAAAAACCAACCTCCAAGGACAAAAGAACCATACTCCAAGCAAGCCAAAAGATATCTCAAATACATCAGACATTGCGGTGCAAGCGCAATCAATCAACTACGGCTAAGAATCCGAATCCGAATCAATTGAAATATGCTGAAATCGACTCAGACAAGCAATATCAAAGCTGTTACTCGCCCTCAGATACGGTATGATGCACATGTGGCCATATAAATAGTATTATAAGCGTTGCAAGGATCGTCAATCCAGATCTTCTATCGACATCATACAATACCACATACTTGTTATCGGGTGGCCCTGCACAGCAGTAGAATTGCCGACCCGTGTTTGGTCCTTCTCTGGTGGTCGTCCGCACAATGCATTCACGATCACACGAGCACAAGGGGATGGCCGGTGCTGCCTCCTGATTCTGCATGGATCATAGTGTTATCAAGCAAAATGAATAGTCCCGAACAACTGCGATTTCCGTATTGAATCCCTGTGTATGCAACGCGACATGAAGTGCCACAGGTCTGCATATCTGAACACCCGACAACACAATACAACGGGCGAGTGATGTCTCGTGCTTTAACCACGCACAACGAGGATCATACAAACTTACCGGCGTGTGAGTTCGGTAGTTATGTCCAGAGTTCGAAGCACCAGCGTTGTTTTCATGGCTGCTATATGCAGGTCCCACATGTTCGCTATAGCTAGGCATCATGCGAGCGTTGCTATGGCCGGTAAACGAAACCTCCACACCGTCAAGAGCCTCGTTGAATAGGTCGTCTTCATCAGAGAAATCCGGAGCCTGCGCAGTCAATAAAGCGATGCTGAAATTAGGTTTTCAGCTGTATACACAAAAGAGCTCGGAGAAACGTACACCTATGGAGAACCATGCATTTGTACTTACGGGTGCACGTTTCTGTCAAGCCGATAATAATCAAATTTTCCTGTTGCTAAAATCACAATCCAGCAGCAATATAGTGGTGTACCATACCATTGCTAGAACTGGATTCAATTGACAGGTATAGTACCTGCACCGGATCCATAATAATTTCTCTCCTGCTCTGCCGAAAAGAGAACAAAGCTGGAATGCGCCCGCCCACCAATTGTCCTCGGTGATATATAGGACGAAAAACAAAGTACACCAAGTATAGCAAAATTTGACACGGGCCAGCAATAGAAACACGTTATCTGATAAATCCCCCGTCTTCGAATGGAGAGTGACAGCTGACACGTACCTTGTACGCTGAGGGGTTGTTAGCTGCCGTGTTGACCGCTGCCGTGTTGTTGACTGGGGGGTTATTTGTTGGGGCGATGCTGTCGAACAGCTCGTTGAGTGCGGCGTCGTCGTCGTCGTCGTCAGACGAGAGCAAATTTATGGTCTCGACAACACGTTTCGTGCCATTGGCTGCTTTGTTCTTAAAGTCAGTCGAAGTACTCAAGCTACTGTTTGTCCTGGCGTTCATATTTGTGCTAGTTCGAGTGCTTGCGTCTCTAGCGGTGTTTGAGTTGGTAGTCCTATGTGATTGTGCGGCATTTCGCCACTGGTCTAAATTGGTCTGTCTGAGTGGCACAGCAGCGCAAGTCGAAGGTGTACTAGAATCACTAGCCTCCGTTTTCCTATCCGTATGGATAAGTGATAATTTGGCGTGTCGGCTAGGTTTCCTCGCACCACCTAGTCCTGATTTAACTGCATCAGACCCGGATTTTTCATCTGTATTCGTCTCTGTACCTCTATTCGCATTGGCATTCGGCGCTACTCCGATTCCTTCTGCGTATTTACTGAGACTTAATTTACTTTGCCCGACCTTACCCTCTATCCATGCCCCTGGAACGTTGTTGCTCGTGCCTATCCTCGCGCCTACTTCAGTCCCGTTACCGTTACCCCGTGTTGTGCTTGGATGGGATTCTTGATTATTTCGGGCATTCTGGTTATTCTGCTGGTTCGTATAATGGTTCCGGTTGAAGTGTGCACTAGTATTCTGGTGCGTATTGGCTGAAGCCACATGACTCCCTCGACTGACACCGCTTGAGCCTCTCCCGCCTCCTGCAGAAAGATAGAAACAATACCTAAGAACCTGGCACGAACATATGTAGTTAGGTTAAACTATTAATTTTGAAGACGTGCTGTAAATTATGACCCTGCTAAAATAAAACTACAGGTATGGCTGTTCAAACAGGACACTAGTGAGTTTGGCAATGGTTAGAAAGTATGAAGCATGCATTGAAAGGTAGTATATATATGTAGGTGCGTTGGTGCAAAGAAACATTGAAATCTCAGTAAATGAGACTAATCAATCAACCATAGGCTGATAGTCTAGAGCCTCTAAAGGTTGAATTTTCTGAAACGTGTGCCCTTTTAGACGACACCCGCATACAATTATTTTATATGCGCACATAAACAAGGTTTTGTGTATGCTAGCTCGATGCACGCCGGTCAGTCCAATATATCAGAATCAAAATGTGCGTACTACTATGTAAATGTGTGTGTGACAGTACATGTGTATATATATTTGTATGTATATATCTAACTATACATATGTAAGTACATTCATACATGTATATATATTGAAAAACATCCTGAAACATACCGCGTCCAGGACCTGGGCCGGGGCCAGGAGGGGGTCCGGATCCGCCTCGCCCACTGCCCACCGAGCTAGCACCTCGACCACGACCAGCGCCACCTGAGAATTGGTACAACAACAGATAATAGGGAAGCTTAACCTTTATTTCGAGGGTGGAGAGTGAGGTAGTTTCTATTTCAGTTTGAGACAAAGAATTGGGGTAGATAGTTGACATGCAAAGGACGAGGATAGATATTATGCGTACGCTGGCACGCGCATACGACCGACGCATAGGTGATATTGAGATTCCTCGTGATGATGTAAGTCGAAACAAGTGCCTTATACAGTTTGGGGTGTACTCGTGCTGGACGATATTTGGACTGCGATGCATGTGTGCCCTTCGGTATATTCGACATACTGGATTTCTGATTTATCGACAACACGACACAGAAACGCAGTACTAAAAGATACAGCCCCAACTTCAGTAGTGAATGAGAATTTAGTACGAGCACAATTTTGGAGAACAAATTTGAGCGACACGTGAACGTATTCAAACAGTCCGATATCATCACAGTACGAGAGTTTGCACAATCACGCCTGTGAGGGTAGTCAACACTTACTATTCGCACTTCCTGGACCCCCGCCTCGACGTGTGCCTGGTAACGCCAAAAAAATGGAAATATAACGCAATTATGAGCTATATGAAATTCAAATTGTGAGGGAAATACAATTGACATGAGTTCCTATTGTTATGTACGCTCCATGCCGTAATTGCAGACGCTATCTCTTGGAGAAAGACTCAATATGCAAGCGTATAGCCAGATCATTAAACCGTAGATAGAATACTCAAACGCAATCAATGCAGCATCACATAACTACAATCATATTACCATTTTCTGATTTGATTAGGAACAAGAACGACCCCGCACTGCAAATAAACATACTGGGCAAGAATACACTGCTCAATGAAAAACATGTAAGATAACTATAAGCGCCCCGTCAAGATAGGACAACAACGCCATACTATTGAGAATAGACAGTCACCTGGAGGAGGAACGCCTGCTGGTCTACCGACAGTTTCCGATTGAAGTGCCTCGTCTAGTCTGTAGTCGCAGAATACACACCCCCTGTATTCCGGTCCCAGCCTAGGATCCATCTATACATAGGAACATACTACGATTAGCTCAAGTGGCATTTGCGCTACTGTACGACACGTTAACGATGACCATAGCGATTGAATTGCGCGTTTCGATACTTCAAATGAGTCACGATCTCGTGATGACTTCGAATGTATCTAGTCCCGCGCAGGCTAAACATAAGTTGGCTAGATATATGGTACTGATCCATCGTCAACTTTGATGTGTATTTAAACACTGATGAAGATTACAGGACATACCTCTCTGGCGAGGAACTTAACTTCGATCTGCTTCACTTCCCCGTGAGTTTCAGATGAACAATTGTTACATATTTGATTGGCAACGGTGATATTCGAAGCGACCTTCCCGAACCAAATCGTGTACTTGCAAGTGGGGTATCCCATACATGTGATGCGATATTTGTCGCTTTTCCCCTTACGCAGTGTCATTTGGGATCCACATCCTTGGCAGGTCCTCACCAGGGTGTCGGTTGGTAGACCTGTACAAACATGAGAACATATAGGGTTGAGTCGGCAATTAAGACAAAAGTAGTAAAAATCACTTCATTATCTGACAAGCTCAGCTAAACTTCATCGAGCATAGTATTTGATGTCGCGAAGTTTGCTTGATGCCGCTCGTATTTATTTTTTGTCGCTGACTTCAGTTTGTGCTATGGCAGCAACACGTATTGAATGGCATCGGTTGCCTGTGTTCTTGACTCTATAGCCAACGATACTTATCGGCAACACGTTGCTTCGGAATTCATACAAGATTTAACGCACATTGTCTTCGCAGAAAAGAGGTAAACGGTTGACATACCGTTATCGTCGCCTGCCGTGGGTCCAGGTGCTGGTTCGGTTTCGAAGAACTTTGAGACTGCATCTATAAACAGTTGCGTTTGTGTGTAGGCGGAAACAAAGATGTCCTTGTACTTGCCAGAATATTCGTTGCAGATATCAGCTTTCGTCTTGCGTGCCTGGCAGATATCCACCAAGGCGCGCTGTGGTTCAAGCATAAACAGTGTCCACAGATGATTTATTTAGTCCGTGATTTTCGCAGTGACCCCTTGGATACGATTGCTGGTCAATTTCCAATTAAAGGCCTCCAATTGAAGCAAAAGTGTCCCTCCCATCGTAGCCAGCATCAGAATAATTATATACCTTTACTACTTTATCCCACCTCTATTGCGATCATGCAGGGGTACACTCCGATAACGGATTTACTGTACATAACTGTTGTAGGGTGAATAATACATACCTCCATTTCGGCCCGCAGATGTGGTTTGGTCAACTGGAATCCCATCCGCGCATATGCTTCTTCGAGAGCCATGCCCAGGGAAGACGGGTAGAACAATCGATCGTCACCTTAATATTTAGTTCACAATATATCAGGTCAGCTCCTAGTTGCCAAGCCAAGTTCAAGCTCTGGCGGCTAAACTCGCAGAAAACATTGACTGCAATGGTGTTCAAATGATTGCTGCACGCGCCCAGTGGTATCCAGAGTGTATTTGAACAGGTATGCTAGGTTAAGTCGTAGGTGCCGACAACCAAGACAAGTTTAGGCCTCGTGGCACAAACCGCAGGACGCGATCCTGAGAAGACCAAAATCCACATAACTATTCAAGTTGTGCAATAACGGATGCTCAATTTGGGAGCAACAACCTGAAATGTGTACATTCAGTTTGGCAGTGCGCCACAATCTATATGCGCGATAGCAGCCTGTATAGAAAGTAGTGCATCTATATTTCGACGTAAATTCGAAAGTACTTTTGTAAATATCAGTAGGCATATATTGGCGAATGAACTGCGTTAAACAGTCACAAAAGTTTCTAAAGTTATGACCTTGCTGCCTTAACTCCTAGACTAAAACAAACACTTACGACTAATCTAAATCCAAAAACAGACAGACACGATTTACCTTGTAGTGCGTACTGTCGTCGTAAGATATTCGCTATGTGTTCTGGCATGGTAGCGTCGGTACCGATACCATTCTCATCCATGAGTGTGATCAGCTCTGCTTCGCTCAGCATCTTCGGTGCCTCTGTGGCACCTTCCACAATATCCAAGAAGCTGGGGGTGAATTGCTGCCCTGGAAAGAACCCGAACTAGAATTATTACTAGTTAGCAATTGGCTAGAAATGAAGTGCATATGATACCGCTACCATCGGCTTAGCACGCTGACAGCCAGTTTGTCGCGGTCTATCAAGTGGCAGATATTTGGAAGAGGCGACCACAGGTCCATGCCGTAACCTATGACTAGAGTGAGGAACACTTTAATTCTGCGAGCTGTTGTCTCTTCAGTTTTGCATCTCGTATGCATGACACTAACAAAGCAGTATAGTTAGCTACCTTCTTGATTGAATACGCATTATAGTCAGAGACTGAACTGCAGATCTTTATATGAAATCCCCTACCTCAAAAAGAAGTTCAATTTTTGCGCCCTTGATGCGACTACGTCTCGGATACATACATTATGCCCAAGTAAGATTGAACGCCTCACAACTACCGCAGCTATAGATCGCTGGCGAGGAGACAAAACTCACCTTCCTCAAAGTGCGGGATAGTCTTTGCATTCCATTTTTCATATGGATACACTAGGTACCAGTTGAGTGCATGTATAACGAGTCCCTTGCATGTGAACTTCTCATTGCCCATCGCGGCCGTTACAGTTGTCTCGAACCCGAGCGCCATCTGCGAGCAGACTGCCAGGAAGTGTCGGGTGATGAGCTCGAAGATCAGCGCTTCCTGTGGGATTCGACAAGTGAGCGCTTTGTAATTCACAGATACGCGTGGATAAATATCCTAAACTGACAGTTGGTATCACCTGGCAAGAACTAAAACAAATGTGGTAGACATCTCGCGGTGAAGCGCTACAGCAACTGCCGCGGGTGGTTTGGAGCGGTTTGGCGTCCCTTCCAGTCACCTCCAAGTGATGTGAAGGCCTGGGAGACTCAGTAAGCCCAATGGCGTACCCTTACCATGCTTTAGTTAACGAAGTAGGCACGTGCTTTATCCGGATTTCACATTCAAGATGCCTGATTTTCAATCTACAGATAATCATGTAACTAATATATACTTACTTAAATCTAACATGCCCGAAGGTATTTCTGAAAGGACTGACTTGACATACAGCACGCCTGAAGCTACATCTGAAATAACTGACTTGACATAACAACATACCTGGATTTACATCTAAGATACCCGATAAACAATCTTTCACGCCTGAGTTTACATCTCACTATCTGACACTTACATCTAACTACACTGGAATTGCATTTGACGTACTATACTTCATAACTCACATACCTGTCCTTCAAGATTCCGTCCATCTTTAGTAGGGTGAATCGGGGGATGTGACTGGTCATTGTGTGTACCCTGTCGTGGCCTGATCGGCGGTGCGTCTTGTGCGAGTAGGTTGCGCGCAAATTGACCCCATTGTGGATGCTCAGTCTAGCCGAATAGTATGAAGAAAAACGTTGGTTTATGCAAAATAAATTACATCATAATTTTAATTAATGCAAGCCCGAATGCCGGAGAATAGATCATATCTTCTCTAAGCGAAGCTTGTGCAAATAGAGTGCGCGAAGCGTCCCTCATCACGGCTATGATTCCAGTGATACTTTACCCAACGAATAGTCCGTAAAGGGATATACCTGTTGTTGGATTATCGCTGGTAAATCCATGCTCGATAGGAATTGGTCAGTCTCGGTACGCGGGTAAGATATGTATCCCTCCATGTACAACTTCTCCGCAAGTTGCATACACCGATTGGAATCGATAAACAGCTTTCTCGACACGAGTTTGCACATCTCAACAGTTGTTAGCGGTAGCGGTGTCCATCTCTTCTTCTCTTTACCTTCTATCTTCACCACCTCCGCCACGCGTGCATGTCGACACTCTAACAGATATTGCTCGACCTGCTCTTTGTCAAACAGACGGTTCCGTGCCCACAGAAACTATGCATTGTAGTAGATCAGCGGTGAGGGAAGTGCAGTACCTGCAAGGTTCTTTCGTGCTGCGCCCGGACATTGAAAACATAAAGCGCGAAGAATAATTTGCACATCCGGGCCAACATAAATATGTAAGATGACCCGAACAGAGATGACTCATAGGCCTACCACCCTCGAGCGCAATCAGAAAGCACCCAAAACTACGGCCACAGCACCATTGCACTGCTCCTCTTCGTGGAGTGATCGCGTCACGAGCACGCACACCGGACGAGAAACAGATGACTATGTATATATATCCAGGCCTCAGGATCGAACTTTCAAATCAATGATATACATCGCAAACACGGGCGTGAACTTGAGAGTAACACCAGCCTGTAAACAACTAAAACACCTTCACAATCTGGTTGGCATCCTCAGCACACTCAATGATGTACATCACAAAAACAGCCAGAAACTTGAAACTGACACCAGTCTTCTGTTACCAACTAACACACCTTCACAGCCTGGTTGCCATCCTCAGTACACTCAATGATGTACATCATAAAACAGCCAGAAACTTGAGACTGACACCAGTCTTCTGTTACCAACTAACACACCTTCACAGCCTGGTTGCAATACTCAGCACACTCAATGATGTACTTCACAAAAACAGCCAGAAACTTGAGACTGACACCAGTCTTCTGTTACCAACTAACACACCTTCACAATCTGGTTGCCATCCTCAGCACCGGCCGTGTACTGCATGTCGATCTTCCAGAACGCCTCACTTACGAAGGCCTCCACCTTACAATACTGATCAATGACAAACCCAAGCGTGGGGAATTGACAGGGCCCTGCTTGTCGGATAGCACCGAGCGTGTGGGAGCAGAGAAAAGGCGATTAGAACCAGCCAACGAGCATCTAGCAGCAGTAGGTCGGTGTTGAGAAACAGTGTTCGAGCGAGTCTCCAGGAATAGTGAACAGTGTGTGGATTTGGAAGCAATACGCGAGTGCAACAGGTAGACAGCAAGCGAATAGAAGCTCTAGGCATTGACCAGGCCTGGATTTCGATATGGTTTTAGACTGGTATAAAGCTTGCCCGTGGTGCTCATGTGGTGAGGAGAAAATCTTTGGCTAGGGTGCATTGTGTGAATTCGGGAATAAGGCCTACGTGCCAGGTTGCAATATACTTTGTCATCTACGACAGGATTTTCAATTCCACAGCAGATATAGATATGACAGCACACGAAAGTGAAACAGCACACACATAATGTACTTGAAAGCCGCACGCACCTGTATACCACAACTGAACAAGCAAGGCACATCCATGCCATACATGAAAGGAAATTACACGTCCATACCGTAACTGATGATCTTCTCGTGTAGATCTGCAAATCTCGGCTGCAAACATAGCGTCTGCATGCGCGTGAACGCTGCCCCCACACGCAAGTCCAGTTCTGATCTCGCATCCACAGCGTCGCTTTCGTGTTGATTGACTGGTCTAAGCGTGTTACACGCCTTGATAAGCTCACCGTGTGTAACCGCACTGAACTGTGCACGTAACACCCGCAGACCTCTGTTAGCACTCAGACATATATCTCGTATCTCGCATGCTATATTCTCCCCTTCCCTATCGCAGTCAGTCCACAGTACTAGCCAATCGCTCTGTCTAGACTCTCTGATCAACGTTTTCTCGATGTTCTCCATTTCAGCCTTAACGCGTTTGTCGACATTAGCTGTGAACAGGACCGCCGGTGATACCGACGCCCATGACTTGTATGCAAGCGGAAACGCATGCTCCATCACATGCCCCGATACAGACGTCATCTTCACATGACACATCTCTCCAAGCATGTTGCATTGATACTCGTAGATTTTGTTGTACACAGAAAGACCATTGCGTACATTATAACCTCGTCCAATGATCTGAGACACTCCTTTGGCGACCGAAGGCTTCTCAGCCACACATAGCACACGTGGTGGTCCTTGTCGTCGCGGCATGGTTGTGAGATGAGTACACTGTCAACTACGAGAAAACGCACCGATTGTTTTTCAGGTGCAAGCGCAGCATACCTATCATACGAAAATTTCGAAAATAATGTGGTTCTAAAATATGCATATACTTTGATTGTAAGATTACCGCACGTCTGCTGACTTTTCTGGCAGGTTGACCGCTATAAGAATAATTCACTGTAGCCCCCCTTTCGCATCGAACATCCTCCAGATCTCGGCGCAAAAATCGAAAACATATAGCTAATTTTATATAGGCGAAGAGTGGCTAAGATGGATTGCGTTCTATGGTCTCAGCAAGAGTTTCGGCATAGCCATTACCATAGGCCTATCTCACCAAGCGATTACGAGAGGACTTGCAACTCATATTATATAGTCAGACGGAACCAAACCGTTGATTATTATGCCGATGTATCCGTCGGCGTCCCATCACTGACCCTATCTGTGGCGACTCCCAACAAAAATATCTCTCAAATATGTAGCGCGTCAAATTTTAAGTCCAATCGAAATTGCAAACCGCCTCTCCCGAAATTTTGATGTACCCATTTGTAGCCCTCGCCCCTCGGCCCTTTGTATGTCATAAACAAATATATTTAATTCAAAGGGCCATGATGTATTATTATATTTTATAAAATATTTCCACCACACCCACAGCATTCTAAAATCTAAATTGAACAACCGTATGTACCAACATAGCCTTCTAAATGTAGCATTGATACCAAAAAGTTTATATATATATATATATATAAACACTCTGCTCTGGAGAGAGAGAAAATAATCATCATCCTTCTACTTCCGGGAATCGATATTTTCAGAGAGAGCCGTTTCCTCGAGAGGGTCACGGTTTTTATCGTTTGATGTGGTATCACATATAAAGGCTATAAAAGCCTCCACACATCACCAAATTTACTCCTATATTCCTACATAATTTTTTTTGCAATACAGGGTGCGGGTAGCTTCCTAAAAAAAATCCGAAGGCTATTTGTATATGCTTTCAGGTCTCTATGGTGCAAATCATATAATATAGGAATATTGTGTAGGAATATAGGGGTACGGGTAGCCTCCTAGAAAAATACTAGGCTATTTGTATGTTTTGGTTCTTCTGACGTGAATATCAAAATGATTATCATGTAAACAATCTGAAGCCTATTCTTTTAATAGTACAAGTCCTGCTATATGTGTTACAGTTTATTGTATTTGTACTACACGTATCTTCCCTCGGCATCCATTTTGTGTGTGCGTAGGTGAACCGTCAAACTGCCGCTTGCCTGATAGCTCATAGAGCATCCTTCCACGGGACAGGGAAAGGGGTAATTCGCTGTGTGGCGATAGTAATGTTTCTTAAGATCGCTCGGTCTGGAAAAGGTTTTCCCGCAATTCGGCCAGCTACATACCGTCAAGAGCTTCTCTTCATTGCTGGGCCGTGTAGTGTAGCTCTGCACGGGTTGTGGAGGCGAGGGGGGCTGTGGGGAGGTCACTTTGATACTTGTAACCTTGGTAAGTGCTTCTAAATCCTTCTCATACGCCTGCTCGTCCACTGTATACTGGTCTTCCGAAAAATACGGCTCTACAGTAAACCATCGGTCTTCTGAATCCTCTTGGTCCTCCTTCATGTGTTCCCCGTCAGCCTCATTTGTCAAGGACGAGCTCGGCAGCGCGTTGGCGCGTTTCTCTCGCTTGCGTGCCCGTGACCGTGAGCGATTCTCGCGCTTGTGATCTCGTTTGGATTTTATTTTCCTTGCTCCAAGTCCATCACACGACCTCACATGCTGGCTGAGATTAACTGGTCGCGTAAACAGCCTGTTACATCTATTACAGGCGAGCTTTGCACTCACGCTCTTCTTATTCGGTCTCTCGTCAGCTTCCGCAAAATCGCACACGCGAGAATGAATCTTCAAGTCGGACATGGTGCCGAATTTCTTCTCGCATCCAGTATTCGAACAACTATGTTTAAGCAAGGACACTAGTTGTGGACTTCCCGGTCGACTCGACAGAGGTTCCTCCGCATCATTCACCACAACATCCGAATTTGAGTGTATGCGACCGTTGCGCAAGCTCCTGGCGGTATCTTCATTGTCGTTTGCGTGGTCCACTGCACCGGCGTTCGTTTCAGCCACTGTGTGATTCGTTTCGGCCACTATGTGATTCGTTTGCCCATCCACATCATTCGTGCTAATTAAACGGCTCCTCGGTGCCACATTATACCTGTATGCACGCCTGGCCTTCCGGGACCTCCCACCCGCGACATTGGCTGTGTGCACACCGTCCGCCTCAGCCCCCACCAGATCAGTTTTTAGTTTGCTCAGCAACCGTGTTTGTGCAATGTTATTGCCACGTTCCTTCCTAGTGAGCCCATCCCTCGCTTCTGCCATTGGCGCCCAATTTGTCGCGTGCGAGACCGCGTGGCTAATAATCTGCGGCCCAGTTTTATGCGTCTTACCACAGCATGTCCAAGTACTCATGACCCAGTGCTCCGCGCCTTTGACGTGCTTGTGTCTTGAACTCTCACTCAATCGATTGTCGCTATTCTCTTTCGGCAGCTGGGTACGTCGGTCGGCGTCGCTCATAGGTGATGCCAAACCGTCCTCGCGCCGCCGCATGACGGTAGCAGACGTATAAGCTCCGTCAAAATCTATCAAGTCTGGTGGACCATCCGAAGTTTCGTCACCAGGTGCAATCTCTTCCTCTTTATCAGATAGGAACATCTCCCGATCTGTTTGTTCATGCACGTTTCTTCGTGTTTTGTCAGTAGCCGCCTGAGTATCCGCTATACTGTCACCTACATTGTCTTGCTGCAGCCGTTCTGTGTCTGAGCCTCTGCCTGGCTCCGAACTCATATCTCTCTCGCCATTCCGATTTCGTGCGATAGCAGCCAACTTCTGTTGCAGTACACTCGGCTCGTCTAAATCACTACCTCTTTGATAGGTTTGCCCTTCTAGATTGTCGCGCGACTCATTCGGTTGTACGTATGCCTCGTTTTGAGGTGATCCATATTCTTCCTTGCTATCTTGTGAACGACCACAATGCACGGGATCGTATCGGTGCACCTCATTCCAGTGATACGACTGTGTGCAAAGACCGGATGCGTTGTCAGAATACTATGGCGTAAAGGTCACAAGAGTCGAAAATATAGATAAAGGACTTAAAGATACCAAGGGACGCAATTCATATTCTCTTGGTATTGATAAGGGTTGCAATCCAGTTCGATCAACAAACTCTTTACGCAACATAAGCAAATTTCGACAATACTTTGCATTTCGTCTCCCTCCATCAACCATTAAAATTTCTTCTATACTCAATGTCGAATATATACTATCTAAATATACATATAAATCTATATATATATATATATAAATATATTCATATATATTACATGTATATATATATATATATATATATATATATATAGTATATATATATAGTGTGTGTGTGTGTATAGTATGTGGTATAGTATATATAGTAAATATGTATGTAT